AATACCATTAGGCCAAAACGGAAGGTACCTCCATATCTTGGAAGGCAGGTATCTCAGGTTTAACCTCTTTACAACTCCAACAATATTGGTCGCCCAACAAAACATTTCAGAGGAGTAGCAGCTTGCTGCTGATAAATGTGATCCGTAGAGCTTATGAGAAACAAAAACATAGACTCCGTGTTACTCGAGGACCTCCTAATACTCGGAGCCTAATATGCCACTGAGTGTGGTATTCTCTGAGGTTGATGACAATAATGTTTTCGACTTTTGATTGCTACTCGCCGACATCCCCGTTCGCCATCGATCTCAATCGAGAGAAGGACTTCGATTATATTGAGACACTGGCGGCTTTATGAATGCAGAAAAGCTTTAGATATTCGTTTGATGAATAAACTTAACCCCTGAGAGGTGAGCTGATCTAAGATCTGAATAAACATCATGTTTCCCAACTCCATCATGATAGCAAACCAATCCTGACCTGATGCTAATTTTTATTTTTGATACCTTTTCCTTTTCCTCTTTTTTTTCCCTCATCCAACAGTAAACGCCTGCCATTGTTCGATCCTATATGTACCCCAGCATGTCAGGAGAGATAGGAGAACAAATGAATATAAAAAGCAAAACAAAAAACTGGCATCTCAGGCGCGAGCCTTTCAAAAGATAAAATTTAGATCACGGGTGATAGACAGAGTCACCCCTCTGGAGCAGAGGACGTTGGTCCCAGCTGTCCTCGTTGAGACTCTCGTCGTCGTCGTACTCATCTTCCTCAGTGACGTTGTCGTTGATTCGCCGACGAGTAGGCGTAGTAGTGCTCTCTGGCTTGCTGTACATGAAGTACTGGGCAAACACACCCAAATCGAGGAAAAGAGTAACGAGACTGCCAGCGAGCCAGCTCAGGTTGACGAGGATGTATTTGCCGTAAATATGACGAGCCTCGCCGGGTCGGCATTCATCGTGCTTGCACTTAGGTTCGTAGGCGAAGATGGACAAGACATAAGTAATATTTCCGAGACATGCAAAAAGGAAGAAGAGCATGCTGAGTCCGTCGGTTGTCTTGCGCCTCCAGTTCAGGATGAGCTGGGGGAGACGAGAAGCGATGTATGCGACGGTGCAGAGATATCCAAAGATCTGACCCGAAAGACTGAAGTGAAGGCTATCCTCGCCTCCAGCATTGTTGTCGCCATGCTTGTCGCCAGTAGAAGCTTTCTGACCCAGGAACCAGCCAACAACACCAGCTGCGATGACCATCAAGACGATGATGGTGTTCCAAACCACAGTCTGAAGGATAGTAGGGGTCTGAGGAGTAGCACCTTCGGCGATGTGAGGAACAGCTGGTGACAGGCCGGACCAGTCTGAGCCGCGGCGCTCCTCATGACGATCGTGAGCGATCAGACCAGTGCGCTCGTTGGGTTCACCAGGGGCCAGGGTGTTGGGCTTCGCAGCAGGGGTCGGGGCATCGCGCCATGTAAAACCACGATAGTAGAAGCACTGGCCCAGGAGGACGATATCAGCGATCGTGTAGTAGATAGCGAGGATGATCTATAAAAGTAATTGATTTAGTATTCGATCCTTAAACGGGGTGACTAATGCTGCGCGTGAAGCGTACCATGGTCGGTAGAACGCCCTGAAGGACGGCACCCAGAATGTTGAAAACATCGCCGAGAAGCCAGACAATGATGAACTGAATCGAGAGGGCATCGGCACTGCTGCGCTGGAAGTTTTGGATGATTTGAGGAGAGAAGACGACAACTATTTGCGATTAGTGTTGTTCCAAGGCTGAGACCAGTCATAGCGACATACCCCAGCAGGCAATGGAGATAGAACTTTGTGTAAAGTTAGTATGCGATGTCTTTCAAGGATGACAGAATCAGAGACATACCCGCAAATGCCCGAGATCGCCTCAACGTCAAGGTTCAGATTCGCAGTTGGCGGAGTCATGATGGAGGTTGAACCCTGGGCGAAAGGTGGCAGAGTGCAGCGCCGACCCCAGCTCGCAGCGATACCGTTTGAGTGACCAAAATAAATCGCACCGTGATATTATGGCATTCGCTAAAATGAAGAAAAATCGACTCGTCAGGGAGTGGTCGCTGATGGTGATAGTCTAGGCGTCGTCGCGAGGCAAAAAATCAAAGGGAGAGACAAAAGGGTCGTGGCACGAAGAATGAAGAATGAAGAATGAGATTGACAGACTTTTTTGCCTGGTCAAAGATTGCGAGGCCAGGCATGGTCCCGTGCACCCCCAGCACAAGACGTCACTGTACCAGAGACAAGATTAGGAATGGATTGCGGGGGAGATGCGCTAGAATGCCCTGAACTGAGCTTGCTTGGCTTGGCTCAAGGTATTGGGTGCTAGGATACTTCCGGGGTCCGACCTCGGCACAGCGACAAAGTTAAGCTGTAGATCAAGTTCGGATTCGCGAACGGCCAATGCCAGTTGAACTATGAAAACGCCATGAAAATACAACCAATTGAAGTGGTTTGGTATAGTCAGGGGCTGTTCTGAATGCAAGATCGTGGATCGCAGATGTTGCTTCGTCTATCTGATAAAGTATCAGACGAAACACCAAAAATATGATATCCATGGACCCAATGAATCTTGATGAGATCCTCTCTCTGCAGGCCAATCAAGACGAGCCCTGACTCATCCAAACTCCATCCCGCTGGGTACATGGCCGCATTCGCCGCAATATTTGTGCAAATCGCCCGCGACTTTCTCACCGCTAGCCCCAGAATGAACAGGAAACAGAACGGAGACCTCGGACTTGAAGCCGATTATTAGTTACTGCTCGCTCATTGCCTCACGTTGATCATAGAAAGCCTCCTCCTTGTGACTGATGACCAAATCTCAACATCAACACCAGAGTTCACATTGTGATCATAAATCCAACACAAGAAATCTCGGCCATTAATCTACCTAGCATCAAGCAAGTGTCGACTATTTCTGACCCCCACCATTCCAACCTCACTCATATCAAGAGCATTACAAATCAAGTCCCATCACCTTCAACACAACAACACTCAATGTCAACAACCACTTCAGGTCCAGGGCTGCCCGAGATTGCAGCTCTTCAAACCGACGACTCAATGTTGACTCGCCGTTTTGGAAAAGAGGTTGTCAACTACTACGCCGGTGGCCGTATCAACAGATACTCTTTTCTGCGTGCCGATACTGGCTTCCTTCGACAAGCCTTCAGCAGCTCTACAGCTAGATATCTGGCACTCCATGACTTGAACCCTCTGGTTGTTGACAAAAAGACCCCGGCTCATCTGACTTTTAAGGATGTCGAACCTCTGATCGGACCGGACCATTTCGCTCTCACTGAGGATGAAGCTATCCAGAGCTTCAACTCTGCTGAGACCAGACCCCTGGTTGTTTTCGTTGGTATGCTAGTGGAGGGTAACGAGAAGGATTCAATCCCTTCCTCCGACCACGGGGATATCCAGGGCCACCCCTATTTCGCCATTGACATCACTCCCAAGGGAAACCACGCCGAGAAAGCCACTCAGTTCTTGGAGGAACAGGAGAAGAAAGGACTGTCTTTGGATAAGAACCCTCGAGCGATGAATCAGTCGCCCGAGGCTGGTGAGTTGTCCCTGAGACCGGTTTGATCTTCAACTAACCTTTGCAGCCGCTCTCTACGCTCAAGCCAGGTCTATCATCGACTGGAATACACGAAGTCCCTTCTGCGCCGGCTGCGGGCTGCCCAACCTCTCAGTTCACGCTGGGTATAAGCGCGTCTGCCCTCCCGCCGATAAGAAAGGCGGAGCTTCCAGTGAACCTCGAGGTGACTGTCCCACCCGTCACGGCGTCTCAAACATCTGTTTCCCTAGAACGGATCCCACGATGATTGCCGCTGTTGTTTCCGCAGATGGAACCAAGATTCTTCTTGGCCGCCAGAAGCGTTGGCCTCCTCACTGGTACAGCACGCTTGCCGGTTTCCTTGAGCCTGGTGAGTCTATCGAGGAGTCGGTTCGGCGAGAGGTTTGGGAGGAGAGCGGTGTTCGTGTTGGGCGCGTTGTTATTCACTCGAGCCAGCCGTGGCCTTATCCCTCCAGCTTGATGATTGGAGCTATTGCTCAGGCTCTGCCTGGTGATGGCGAGAAGATCTCTCTGAACGACAAGGAGTTGGAGGTGGCCAAGTGGTTCTCCATGGACGAAGCCCGCCAGGCTCTTAAGAATGGAACGAGCAGCCTTGGGGAGCCTGCTCCCGAGGGGTACAAGGAGGGAGATTTGCGATTGCCTCCTCCTCAGGCCATTGCCAATCGGTTGATTACTGCTGTTGTTGAAGGATATTTGACTGTGGGCCCCAAGATGTGATGAGGCATTGATAGACTATCTACCAAGTGTTGGGGAGACGAAGCATAGAAGCGTTGATTATGGTGACAACTAGTGCTCGATTTGAATGGCGGCTTATCATTTAGTGAGATATATTGCATGTTCACATGATGGGCCAAGAAGAGTAATTGCCAGTGTCAACTGTTCAGGTCATTTCCGTGGTTTGGTCAAGAGTTCTGCCACTGAGGTGACCGAGAACAATTGGTACCTAAGGTAGTGTTCTGGCTCTAGCTCTAGCTCTGACACAGCGGCAGACTCCATCCTCAACTTCCATTGCTAGCTTCACCTTTCTCCTACTTTCACACTGCTCTCATCCAATACTTTCTTCCCCTCTTGCACGTCACTTCACCACAGAAGCAGAAGAAGAAATACAGCATATCCTTGCTCAGAACTTGCTTTCTATCTTGTCAAGGCAAGTCTTTGGCTTCTTGAGATAACTGATCATTTCATCATTCTTCCTGCGCGCTCAACATCCATCCATCTTCTTGACGCGCATTGCTTCGCCTCTTCATAACACCGCTCCCTCCTCAACACCCTCTATCTTCTTCGACCATCTCTTCTTGCCTCTCAGTATTCTTGGTCACCTTAGACCGTCGTCGGAGATATCTTCTGCCTATTTCCCTTCATATCTTCCGTAACCTCCCCCGCCCTCCACGATCTAGATATGCCTGACGCGGCCCAGCAGCCGCTAAGTGCGCGGACAGCGCAGCGAATTCATGAGCAAGTGACTCGTGAGGTTTTTCGACTCGCTGGTCGTGATCCCGATCATCACATGGAATGCTTCAAGGCTTGCCTAAAGACTATCGAGGACACCAAAGTCGTCGAGGCAACTGACTATGCTATCTGGCAGAGCCAGGTAAGCCAACCTGTATAGTTCTTGCAAGGAACAACAGACTGATGATTCCTAGGAGCCGATCGCAAGTCCCCTGAAAGAATTCTCCAATACCAACCGAACCACCAAGAGCAGCAACTTTTACATGCTCTCAGCAACGACCGCCGTGGCTATTGCTGCCATTCTAAACCTGAAGCACGTCGTCATCAACTCTAACGGCAATACCAAACACATCGCCAGCGCTGTATCCGAGAGTGCTGTGTGGGCTTACCTTGGTATTGCTATCGATGTATGGCCTCAGACTGGTGAATCTCAGTTCTTCGTTAAAAAGTCTGATGAAGGTTCAAAGTCTCCAACAGTTGGAAAGGTCGCCCGCGGAAAGTTTGCAGTCACAACCAATATCCCCGGAGACACTATCACCCCTCTGATGCTTCTTACTATGGCGAGATTCAATGGCTGGATCAAGTCAGCACCGGGTGCCCCTTGTCTGAAGAAGGGGACTGTCGACGCGCCGCAGATCATCCATCGCCGTCAAGCATTGAGCGAAGGCAAGGAGATCCTTGAGAAACTCGGAAACCGAAAGTACAAGCAAAACGATCCAGCTCTCATCCGAGAGGTAAAGGCATGGCTCTCGGAGCCCATCATCCGTGTGCTTCCAGAGGAGGCGAAGAACCGACTATGGTACTAGTGCAGCCAAGTCGCGAAATCATGGTTGCCAATCATCAAGGACGCAGACACGGACTTATCAGTTTACAAGTTCATGGGCAAGACCGGTGCCACTCTTGCATCCCTGGTGTCCGATGAAATCGACTACATTCAACTGGCTCAACAGGTCAATGATTCAGAATCAACTGCAGCTGTAAAGAAGCTGGTTCAACTGTCAGACAAGGCCCGTGAGATACAAAACTCTCTGCAGAACTATCTTCAGGAAGCAACCCCCAGTCTGATGGAACTTCGAACGACTCTCCTGGAGAAGCCTGGTTGCCAGTCGTTCCAGCAAGTTTTTGGACCTCCTTGGAACGAATGTCTTCTCAACCAGGAAGCTGACGGTACCAAGAACATTATTGTTGGCGCTCTTCAGCGTCTCTTCGATAATATTGCTTATGTCGTTCCTCGAACGCACTCTTTGTACGGTGCTTTTCTTGACATGGCTTCCAAGATGGACATTGCTGTCATGTCTTCCCTCGACCTTGATCTTGTCCGAGCCAAAGATCGTCACCAGAAGCGGCTGGACATCAACGACGATCTGTCATACCGCAATGAAATCATGACAAATGTGGCCGAAGCAATCGGAAGACTCGAGCGTGGGTCAGCATCGCAGGAACGACTTCTACGTTCAAAGCTCTGCTCGATCCTCGACGCAGCTGATGCGCTGATCCTGAAGGAGAACCTTCCGCGGGACATCAGCATCGTGATCTCAACCAACAACCATGAGGAATAAGATTGATATTTATGTATGGCATTCTTGAGTAAATCTACGAAACTCTGACATGAATACAAATGAGCATGGGGCAGTGTTAAGAGACCAGTTCAGTCAATGTAACGGCGAGACGTCAATGTGTCGGGACAAGAACATATGGCAGAGTACCTAGTCATCTTGTTGATGTGTCGAGCGAGAACAATTTTGGCCAAGAGTTAATGTTGTCATGTTTATTGCTCGGACAGTCTAGGACACAATTGAAGTCTGGTTTGGAGAACAACTTATGTCACTGCTTTACTTAAACCCCCCTTGCAGAAAACATAGAGCTTTGTTGAATCACCGAGCAAGTAAGTAATGTAGATCGCTTTAGCTTTTGTGTGCGTCACTGTAACTGTGTTCAAATGTTTGAAGAGATTGCATGCGTATTGTATATGTGCAGATAATGCTCAAGAACGCTAACCGCCTTGCTTTTCTTGCTGGTATAAAACTCAAAATATTACATGGTCATATATATGTACAATTCTTTCACTCATCCAGTAGTGTGGGTATCCGTAATCATATCAACTCCATCATTCGTGCATGCTTAGAAAAAGCTTCGGAGAACCCTCTTGGGGGCGTCAGCCCAGACGAAGGGCTCCTTGGGCTCCTCCTCCTCCAACCAGACAGCGCCGCTGGCAAGATCCATCTCAGAGGGACGGACAAACATCTGCCACTTGCGTGTGCAGATCTTGTAGCCGAGGTAGAGAAGGGTAACAGAGAAGAAGGCGAGGTAAGAGCTGAAGAAGGCCTCAGCGTTGGGAGAGGCGCCGGAGGCAGGGTAGAGAGCAGTGTAGAAAGAGGCGATGAGGGCGAGGATGTTGAGACCGAGACCGAGGTAAGATCCAGCAACGCCGAAGGGGGTCTTGTAGGGAATGAGACCGAGGTTGACGCCCTGAGCCTTCATGCCGGCACGCATGCGGATGTGAGCGAGGCAGATAGAGCCCCAGACGAAGAGGAAGCCAAGACCAGTAAGGGCCAGGAGCCAGCCGAAAATCTCCATACCCTGAGGAGCAGCGCCAATATAGGCAAGGAGACCGAAGGCGATCTGGAGGATAACACAGTAGAGAGGGCGGCCCTTGGAGTCGATATACTTGAAGAAGTTAGGAGCCATGTTGCGCTCAGCCATAGCCTGGATGGTTCGGGTAGAACCGAAAGTGCAGGAGTTGGCAACGGAGAGAACAGCAACAGTGATGACAGCGTTCATGATGCTGGGGAGGACCTTGATACCGGCATCCTGGATAGCAAGAACAAAGGGAGAGGCCTTGGTGTTGGCACCGCTGGCACCCATCAGGCGAGGGTCGTTGGCGGGGAGGATGAGACCGACGATGAACAGGTTAAGAATATAGAAGATGGCAATTCGCCAGAAGACCTGCTTGCTAGCCATGGGAATAGACTTGCGGGGGTTGGCAGACTCAGCAGCAGCCAGACCGACCATCTCAGTACCACCGAAGGAGAAAGCAGCGACGACGAAGACAGCGCAGAAACCCTTGAAGCTGGTGAAAGCACCAGGATCGCGCCAGTACTTGACACCGATGTAGCCCTGGTCGCCAACGCCACCGCAGTTGATGACAATACCGAGGATGATGAAACCAACACAGGCGCAGATCTTGATGATGGAGAGAACAAACTCAACTTCACCGTACCCTCGGACACCGAAGACCTGAATGCCCATGAGGACAACAAGGAAGACAGAGACCCAGACAGCCATGTTGATATCTTCTCTCCAGAATCTGATGGTGATGGACGCGGCGATGAGTTCGAAAGGCAGGACAGTCAACCAAGCGAGAGCGTATTGCCAACCCATGGCGAAGCCCCATGAAGGATCGACGAAGCGGACGATGTATGTGAAGAAGGCACCGTTGACGGGGTAGAGGACAGCCATCTCAGCGAGGGCCAAGCATGTGCAGAGAAGCATGATACCGATGATGAGATAGCCGATGAGGAGAGCAGCAGGGCCACCCTTCTGGAGGGCACCACCTGAACCGACGAAGAGACCAGCACCGATAGCGCCACCTAGACACGTTAGTTATGAGTTTGAGGAACAGTGGAGAAGTGAAGTCATACCGATGGCAATCATCTGCATGTGTCGGTTCTTGAGATCTTGCTTGAGACCACCGTTCTTGACCTCGCCAGTCTCGACATCTCGTGTCTCAGAGACATCGAGAACGGCCTCCTTGCCGTAATCGGTGGGAGGAGTAGAAGCCATGGCTACTAGCTGTAGTGGTGGTGGTGGGAGGAGAGAGAAATGTATGAGAGAGTGAGAGTGAGAGTGAGAGAAAGAGGAGTGAGTGTTGAGAGTGATGCTCTTGGTTCTTCAATTACCAGAATGAGGGAGAGGGCCTCGATATTTGTACTCATTTTGATCGACGATGTTGCACAATATACCGAGAATATGGAACTGCTCTCCATACCGTTCTAGATTTGGTGGCGCTGGGGGTCTGCCAGATGCGAGTTGGAGTTGGAGATGGCAAGGATGGGTCAAGGGGGGTAGTCTAATGCTAGTCTTAATGTTAGCGTGTTGGTTGAACTTGAAGGAAATGGTGTGCAGAACGGGCAGTCTAGCCTTTCTTGTTTTGCCCCAAAGAGTTTATCTTCGAGGCTAATCATTAGTCTCACGAAGCCATTGGCTCTTCAACTCCAAGCTACAGTATCATGGTGGGTACAGGATTTTCATGTCCACCTTGGAGCTTGGAGCACAGCAGCCTAAAAGTCACACTGCAGTAGTGGCCTGCCCCCCCTTATCTCGTTGCCGTCTTGGTTCTGCTTGTCTTTCACTCGGCGAGCGCGAGAGGGCTCCGTAGCCGAGAATCGTGTCGACCTTGACCGGGCCGGTTATGCTTGGCTCGTGCTGGTAAAGACATGACAACGGTTGACACGGCGCTTAACTCGCCTGTCGTTTGACATTAATCTAGATAGCCTATCTGATAGACGAGTCAGCATGGTCAGCAATCAATCAATTTGAGTTGTTTCTTACGTTTCACTCCCTCAGGATAAGGTTATTCACCAATACTACCCAAGATGTGTCAGATCCTTGTCATGCTGCAATCCTTTGGAATTAACTCAGATTGGGTCGTGTTGCATCGTATGTATGGATGTATCCTTGCCGACGCCCTATTACGAGTCAACCTCTCGGCAGTTTCCGTTGACTTTCATGGGCAGTCGACTACCATTACACGCGCTCCTAACGCGGAGTCAATGACCATTTCAACGCCACGTCCGTAACGCTTGTTCAGTGGCCCCGTAAGCACTTTCAGCTTTTTTCGGAAGGTCGACATCATCACCAATGGCCCTTGTCCTTCTTCGGAAGTCCCCTGGTGGTAGTAATCAACTGATGACTTATGTCGTATTACAAGACACATGTTGTCGTTGTGAACCAAATGTTCGGGTCGGGCCCAGTGTTGCCCAGACCTTAAGATCTGCAGACAAGACTTGGGCTGGTCTGCTGCAGAACTTGGCGATGCGATGCCAATAGATCGCCAAGCACATTGGAGTCTTCAGCAGCAGAGGGCAAAGCAAAGCAAAACTTGGACAAGGCCTTGGCTTGCTTTGGTTCTCCCCCACATGCTCCAGGGCACCCTCGCGCGGTCATGTCTCGAATGAGGAGGGTGGCAAAGCTCGAGCTAGTCCTCAAGCTAGAAGTTTCCAGACTACCCTCCTCTTGCAGTTGACATGTCCCTGATTGGCCATGAACGGCCCCCAGCTTCGGTGGTATCAGTGAATCTGGAACTGTACCCATGTCCCAACAGCCCTAGGGCCAACTAGCAATTTGGAGACTCCTTCCCCTCTCCCGCTGGCTCTCAGCTGCTGACCGCCAGCCAGGGGAAAACGCTATCTCTTAGCTGGCCTTATCGAGTTTTTCTCCCTCATACCATCGGTATCTCCTTGATTGGACCGCCCATATCAATCGTGGCTTGAAAAATCTCCTCACGCTGGAATTTCCCCTCATGAAAAAAAGGTCATTTCAAGCCAAACTAGCAATGAGGCTCAACTTGCTCAAGAGTCTCGTTACGTTATGTCTTCTTGGCTTTCTGGGGAAAATGGATACGATGCAATGGCCGCCACGAGGCCTCCCCAGATCCAGACTCATAATCTGGGGATTCTCCAGGCTCTCGAGTCTAGACACTCAACGTGTTGATTCCATTACGAAATCGTTTCCGCAGCATCTTGATCCTGTTTCTGGGGTAGAGTCGAGCGAGGTTCGAGGGTAATCTCAGTCTCCCTGGTTCGCTCGGGGAGATCCATAACACTAACGACTCCAATTATTAGCCTCTGACACCTAACTTGTTCAAGAAGGTGTTGACACATAAGATGCGGAGAAAAAGCTCAATGTTTCCACTGCGGAACCGTCAGCAGAATCTAGACCTCTCACTTCCCCACAGCATGTTTGGCAGGGGTAAGCTTTGAGTATCACAGGCTGCCCTCGTGTGGAAATTCCACGTGAAGCCATCACATAACATCTGTTGTCCTCAAATGGCAATTGCTGCCTTCCATCATCGTCAAGGAACGGTTTGCCCGGTGGCGCTCCTAGCATCCATGCTAACCCCAGGAAACGAGTCGTACCACTAGCTGAGTTCTTGTGCCGGCGCTGGCCATTTCAATGCCCACTATGGTATGATTGAGAAGTCGATATTGGTTGGTTTGTTCTGTCTATCTCGTAATGTATTACCTCGAGATTGCCATGGTAGTGAACTCCGCTCCGTCCATTTTCGGTGTTGGGAGCCATTCAACATTCCCTCTCTCATACCGCGAAAGCCATACAGCGTCCCCGTTAACAGCCTCCAATGCCTCCCGCACTACAACGTTTCGTTCCAAAACGCCCGAGAGCAGGTCAAGAATGTCATCAAACATTTCTTCGTCAACCTGAACATGAGATACAAGAGCTGTCAGTAGCTCAACCGTACCCTCCCACACTCTCGCTGGTGACGCAAATTTTCCTAAGCTACCTGAAGATGGTGCGACTATTTGCGTTAAAGGCCTGCCGCTTAGACTATCACCATGTCTCAGGGGTATCAACACTCGGCTATCGTCGCTTTCCTTCCCCCACGTAGTGCCAGCTTCCCCACGGGGTCTGACCCAGCTCGGTGAAGCGGAAGCTTGCTGCTTAACCTTTCGGCACCAATCTCGAAGCCATTCAGCCCAGTCAGTCTTGAACCGAGAGCTAAGGAAGTCCCCCGCAGCAACGCAGAGTCCAGCAAGCGCGCGGCATGCCTCGACCACGATATAAGCTTCTGGGTCATGCAGCCTGTCGATCACTACTGGCCAGATCGCGTTAACGAGGGGCAAAAAGGCATCTTCATCGGGAGCCAACGCAGTGGATGCTGTTGTCAGTAGCTCAAGCAAGGATCTTCGTAGTGTTGGTGTCGGGGAGGTGAGGTAATGCTGCGTGAGGTTTGCCACTCTCAGAAGGAGCTGGTAGGTTGGTGAGTTTGGTGGTTTTTCTGGTTCTGGTGGAGGATCAGCTGCCTCGTTGCTATCGTTTTCGTTCTTTTCCTCCTTCCACGGAATCTTTGGGTGGCGTTTCACTTCTTCTGTTCCCGTGTCATCGAGTGCTGCCCGCTGCCTTCGTTTTTCCAAAGTATCCAAGAGCTCGGAGAGCCCAGGTTCTTTCTTGTGAACTTTTCGATGGTTTGGTTTTGAACTCGCCTGATGTTCCAGCAACAACATATCCGAGCGAACGCCCTGATTCACAACCTCCTTGAGCACGACAAACAGATTCTCGACAAATACTGGATACCCGTGGAAGTTATCTAAAGCCCCGAAGATAGAGTCGATAACATCGTCTAGGTAGGGAACTAGTCGGGGGCCTGCAAGTCGGACCATCATGGTCAAAACGTTGATCGAGGCAGGCGATATGTCCAGGCTGTTCAACCTCAACGAAACCGAGTTCAGCATGTAGTCCACATTTTGGATGATAAGCTCTGAAACGTTGGCATATCCGCATGAGGCTGCTATACTGTTCAATGTGACAATAGCATGCTTTTGCAAATTGGGGTTGTTGGAGCCTAAGAACGTTGCGATGGGAAACAAAACATCAATCAGTTCGGGGCGAAATGACTCTCCGGCTCGCTGTGCTGTGTAGGCAGTTGCTTCTAGGGCTAGAGCTTCTAGCCGCCAGTCGACAGATTCTACATCTGTGTGTCGGTCGAGAATCTGCACCGATGTTGTGTAAAGCTCATTAAATATGGTGTCGATATCCTGGGAAGTATCGGTTACTGATGACAAGTTCAAGAACATCTCTGCCTCGGCAGATGATCTATGGCTCGCTTTGATAAGTTCAAAGCAAAGCCAAAAAGTAGCGACTTGGCTGCCTGAATTATCAGAGTCCTGGACCTGCTCCAACATAGCACCAGCAAATCTTGCTTGCTGAGACGATGACCCAAGAAAGTCAATGAGTGATGCCATCTCATGGCGGATATTCTTCTGCGATTCGGAGGGCAGCAAGACGGGCTGGTATTGGATATCCTTTTGCTCTGCCGATACTTCCCCACTGTCTATCAGTCGAACGTCCATGTTCTCGTTAGTTTCCGTGGTTCTTGATGCTTGTATTAGAGATATAACACTATCTCGGAGCATAATAGACATAGATTCGTCCAGCGTCGATGATTGTATCTGTAAGTCTCTGATGAGCTCAAAACCCTTCAAGACATTTCGTATTGCGTCTCGCTTCACATCTTCATCCGCTGATTGCATCAGCCGTGAAAGACTAGACATCCAGTTATATGTCGCCGTTTTGACGATTTCACCGAGTTCAGGATAGATGTTGACAAGATCTTGTAAACTAGTCTGTGTCAAGGACATCTTATTCTCGGTCTCCCCAAGTATCATGGCTGTCTCAACAAGTATGTTTGCACAGTTGAACAACGTGTTATGGCATTCATCCAGAATGGTCACACAAAGCTTGCTGAGGGCATTCCTCACCTCAGCAGATTCGTGAGAACGCAGTTTCATAATAGTTGAGAGGGCTTTCTTGACTTGCATAATGCTTGCCTTGAGCCAAGCAGGAGATAGAAGTTTGTTATCCTCGGCCCCATCTTGATCAGTTCCGGTTTTTGTCGAGATAGACCGCGTCCGTAGATCGGCCAATACACTTGTCAGTACCAGACTCACTGTTTCGAGACATTTGGCAAGAACAGTGCTCTTGTAACGGTTAGGTGATGATGTGACTTTGGCGAGTAGGGAAACGGTGCCAGGCAGGAAACTAGCCAACGCAGCAGGCTCTTTAACAGTATGGTACACAGCTTGCAGGGCACGCAGTGCTTCCTGTTGAATCTGAGGCGTTGCACCGTCTACCACTCCATTCAACATGACAGTTACGCCGTGCCCAAGAGCCGGTATTGACTCTGTCTCCGAAAACCCAGATGAAGCTGCGGCCGATAAACCAGCTGTGTTGAAGAGCGCTGTCAGCCCACGGAAAGCTTCCAGCACTGTCTCCTCAGCGACAGGGCGTGCTGGGGCTGAGCCAGGTGTTCCATCAACAATGAAAGTCAGAAGACTTAGAATCTGTCGCACAAGCTCCGCAGAAAGCTTTGTCTTCCAGCCATGCGCAATGAGAATTGTAAGCGTCTTGATGCAGTTCTCGATCAAGGGCATGGGATATTGATCCATCTGGCGAAAGATGTGATGGAGAGGGAAGAAGACATATTCAGATAACTTCTCATCCAGTACTAGCGGGTTCCGGCTGATCTGTTCATTGAGGAGTTCCAAAAGTCGACCTGTCTGCTCACCAAGCTCTCGAGAGGAAGCTGGTCCATCGGCCTCACGGATCGCCAACTGACTTATCCTAACGCAACATGGTTTAAGCTAATTTAAGTCAGTATTTTCTTTGGGGCTTGATAATGATGACTTACCCTTTGGAAGAACTCGGTCCTCTCCTTGCTACTGGCTGTTGATTCCATGGTTGATGAAGCAAAGAGCTTCTGCTTGTTTATTCATGCATGTTCTCCACAGGCGAGCCAAGAATTTAACGAACACGAACGCGAGTACGTGAGGTAGTAGGATACTGCATACAGGTCTGGTTAAGATGAATGGATAACTTATGGCCACTAGAAATGTAAAGCGATGGAGAGATCTTGGTTTGGTGGTTTTATTAGAAGGACAAAATTGGAGTATGGAGGGGTCCATTGCTAGTAAAGAGTGGTTTCGCTAAATGAGACCGTGTAAGAACGCAGCCCTGGCACAGTGAAAGCAATCGCGAGAATTAAGGAGAAACCTTGTATTTCCTAACATCTCAGTCGCTGTTACTGTATACTAGCAGCGTATATGACATCTCGTTTCTTAGCAGATTCTCGCGCTCCTTGTACTCTACCTCGTAATCAGTCACTTCTATAGGTCCTGATGAGTCTATTTGATGCAACTCTCACACTGTGGGGTACGCCCACCCACTATCTACTTCTCAGGAATTTGATGCCTGCAACAGCCATCACAAAGCTTATACTAAACAACAAATCACAGCAGATTCTCTTTTGACCTAAGACTTCTGAGTGATCTCCGAGTAAGTGTGCAATGTTATGATCCTAGTGAGAGCCAAGGAAATAAGCTTATATATACCTCATCAGTCCTCCAGTAAAGCTCCCCTCTCTTCTTCTGAGGAAGAAATATCACGACATCTTCTATCATTGCAACAATTCTCTGCATTAGCTGCCAAAATGTCCCCTTCAGGCCCTTTCCAAGTCACTGTTCACCCCTTTGAGTCCAAGTGTCGAAGCTCGGCCGCCTATGAAATTGGTCTCACTTCAGCTCCTAATGCCATTGTCTTCATCGGTGGGCTTACAGATGGACCTCACACTATTCCTTATACCCGGCTTCTAGCCCAGCGTCTGGAGGAAACAAAGGAGCTGGGTTTCTCCGTTATCGAATTCCGCATGAGGAGCTCTTTCTCGGGGTTTGGCACTTCGAGCCTCTCCAACGATGTTGAAGACATTTCTGCTTTGGTCAAGTATCTACGAGGAATTGGCAAGGAAAAGATCGTCCTATTTGGTTCCTCAACTGGCTGCCAGGTAAAATATCCCTTTACCGCCACGGTTCATAGCTCTTCTGACCAATTGCAGGACTGCATCGAGTATGCCAACTATGCCAAGCACAACAACGAACCTGTCGATGGCTTCGTTATGCAAGGTCCGGTATCGGATCGTGAGACACTGGATTTGATCTTCCCGGATCCTCAGCCGAGTCTTGATCTCGCCGCAAAGATGATTTCCGAGGGCAAAGGTGGTGATTGTATGCCTTTTGACATGATTCCTGCTGTTCTGGGAGCGCCCATTTCGGCGTATCGGTTCCAGTCTCTGGCGAGCAAAGGGTGCGTTCAACAGCATCCAGCTATCAGGACGATATGAGCTAACTGATGAACAGCGGCGACGATGATTACTTCTCATCAGACCTACCCGACGATGTCGTTGAAAGGAACTGGGCTCGGTTCAATAAGCCAGTGCTGGTTCTTCATTCTGGTGAGGACGAGTTCGTACCAGAGCGCATCGACCAGGCTGCGAGCAACAACAGATATAAAGCGTTGAACCCGGTTGTCAGTAGGTTATCGGGGCTGATTCCTGGCGCAAGCCATACCGTTGATCAACCCCAAGCGCAGGAGTGGCTCTCCAAGACGCTAGTCGAATGGTTGAAAACCGAAGTCACTTCTCGTGCGGATTGAGATTGCTTGTCAAGACGTGTTGGCAGCCACGCTAATTAGAGAGAACATATTGAGGACTACGACTTGAACAAGCAGTTAGCGTGCTGAGGATCTATGAACACGATACACAGAAAGCATCAAGTATAGCTATTAGTCGCACAAACAACCGAAATGACAATTAAACTCCGAGCTCCAGGGTAGACGATATTGGCTGGGAAGTGATCTCACCTAAACTCCGTAGACCTATCTCCATTTGCCATCAGTAAGCAACCCCACTGAGCAGCTCGAGCCTGTTCTAGTGCCCAGGATCGCATTGTTAGTGCATGTCTGGGTGTTCGCGTATGCTGGGTTTGCAGCAAAATTCTGGGGACCAGCTTACCAACCACGACAAGGGCCTGTCAATTCGACAAGATTCTGCCTGTCGGAAGTCGCCCAGAAGTTCAGAACCTTTTTTTCCCTTTTCAACCTCTTCTTTCAATCCTTCAACTCTCTCTCGCCTGAGGTGACCGGATTCGGGTTTGGGCTTGTTTTGTCTGTTCTGAGACTGTCTCTGTCTTTGTCTTGTCTCCCGAGCCGTTTCCGATCCTGGCTCCGGTTCACGGCACTCGCTCTGACGTACCTAGTCTAAGTAGTACTAACTAACATTGAGCTTCCCGAGCTAAGGTTCCAAAATCTTATCCCGTCACCATCATCGTCACCAAGGACGCGCCATCGCCTCTGTCGCCTACGAAACACCCGACACGTCCCACTAGCATGAAGTGACGGTTGCGCGAAACCTTTTCGATACCTCGAACTCCCTGAGAAGCAACCACTGCAACAATGGCTCTCTACAACGAGCAACAGGTTCTCTTCGAGACAGGTTCGTTCACTGGCTTCCGCCCGCTGCGAGAGCTTGGTGCGAACTATCTCACTACCGGCCCCTTCAAGCAACCTCTGTGTGGGAATTCGGAAGGATGGGGGCCCCTAAGTCCTCATCGCTATGATTTTACACCTTGTTTTATCGACGTCTGGATCTCTGCTGTCTCTGTTTTTGGCCTTCTGTTTGGATCGCTCGCCGTCTGGTGGCTGCTCGCCAAGAAGCAGAAACAGGAGGGACAGACCAAGAATGCGCACTTCTACATCAAGCAGGTAAACTCTTCTGCACCATTCTCTGCTAATGTTCTGTTCAATCGAGCTGATTTGTTGTCTCAGTCCCTCCTCGCCGTCATCATTGTCGACGTCATTGCTCAGCTTGTCGTTCAAATCGTCTACATGCCCCATATCTGGTATGGCGATTTCCGAGTCTTGACGACCTTCTTGACTATCCTGTCACTATTTGTCGTTTTCGCTATTCAATGGATCGAGCATTCGCGTATTCGATATCCCAGCGGCGTCGCCCTGTTCTACTGGCTCTTCCTCCTCATATCCTTCGGCGTTAAGCTACGATCTCTTATCTCGCAGCAAATTTACGACTCCAACCTGCCGTACTTCGTTATCTACTGCGTCGGAGTTGGACTGTCTCTTGTAGAGTTCCTTGTGGAGTGGCTGTGGCCCCGAACTTCTCGTCCAAGTGGATATGAAGCCATCGAGGAAGAGGAAGAGTGTCCCGTTGAATATGCCAACGCATTTTCTCAGCTCGCCTTCTCCTGGATGACACCAATGATGCAATATGGTTACAAAGTGTATTTGACCGAAGAGGATCTCTGGGCTCTTGCCAAGGATGATCAGACCAAGAACACTGGATCTCGCTTTGACCAAGCTTGGCAATACGAGTTGGAACACCATAAGAGCCCTTCGCTGTGGAGAGTTTTGTTCAAGGCATATGGCGGTCCTTATTGTGTTGCTGCTATCTTCAAGGTTGCAAATGATGTCGCCCAGTACATTCAGCCCCAGTTACTTCGGCTTCTCATCTCATTTGTGAAGTCGTACGAGGAAGACAATACTCCTCAGCCTATTATCAAGGGCGCCGCTATCGCCCTGGCTATGTTCGCTTGCGCGGTCCTGCAAACCACCATGGTTCATCAGTACTTCCAGCTTGCCTTTGTGACGGGAATGCGTATCAAGGGTGGTCTGTCTTCAGCCATCTATCGCAAGTCCCTACGCCTGTCAAGCGAAGGCAGGGCTTCAAAGAGTACCGGTGACATTGTCAACTACATGGCGGTTGATGGCCAACGTCTGCAGGATCTTACCCAGTTCGCTCAGCAAATTTGGTCTGCGCCATTCCAGATTATTATCTGCATGGTTTCCCTCTATAATCTGCTAGGCTGGTCTATGATGGCGGGCGTCGCGGTCATGATCATTATGATGCCAATTCAAGGATTTGTCGCTCGCATTATGAAAAACATGCAAAAGGAGCAGATGAAGAATAAGGACGCCAGAAGTCGCTTGATCAACGAGATCATCAACAATATGAAGAGCATCAAGCTGTATGCTTGGGGCTCAGCCTTTATGAACAAACTCAATTTCGTCCGAAACGAAAAGGAACTGAAGAACTTGCGAAAGATCGGTGCCACTCAGGCCTTTGCCAACTTCACTTGGACTACTGCGCCTTTCTTCGTGTCATGTTCGACCTTCACCGTCTTTGTTCTGACCCAGGATAAGCCCCTCACCAGTGATATCGTCTTCCCTGCATTGGCCCTGTTCAACCTGTTGACCTTCCCTCTTGCCATTCTTCCTATGGTCATCACCTCCATCGTCGAAGCCTCTGTCGCCATCGGACGTCTCACCAGCTTCCTTACTGCTGAAGAGCTTCAGCCCGACGCTATCACTATTAAGCCTGCCCCTGAGCAACTTGGTGAAGAGAGCATAATCATACGTGATGGTACATTCTCTTGGAGCCGTCACGAGAACAAGCCCACTCTCGTTGATATTGATTATACCGCTTACAAGGGAGAACTCTCCTGTGTCGTTGGTCGCGTTGGTGCTGGCAAGTCGTCATTCCTTCAAAGCATTCTCGGTGATATGTGGAAGGTTAAGGGTAACGTCGAAGTACGAGGAACTGTTGCCTACGCGTCGCAGCAAACCTGGATTCTCAATGCTACAGTCAAGGAGAACATCATCTTTGGGTATAAATATGATGCTGAGTTTTACGAGAAGACTGTCCAGGCGTGTGCTCTTTTGGACGATTTTGCTCAGCTTCCAGATGGAGACGAAACTGTTGTTGGCGAACGTGGTATCTCCCTGAGTGGTGGTCAAAAAGCACGTGTATCACTGGCTCGTGCTGTCTATGCTCGTGCGGATATCTACCTACTTGATGACGTTCTTTCTGCTGTTGACTCCCATGTTGGCCGTCACATTATCGACAATGTACTCGGAACCCGTGGTCTGCTAGCTTCAAAGACTCGCATTCTTGCAACTAACGCCATTGCTGTCCTTCGCCAGGCCAGCTACGTGTCTCTTCTCAAGGATGGCCAAATCATCGAGCGAGGAACGTACAAGGAATTGGTTGCTCAGAAGGGACTCGTTGCTGAACTTCTCAAGACAGCCGGACACGAGTCTGGCAATGCCACCAGTGAACCTAGCTCCAGTGCTTCAAGCAGCAAGGCTGCTACAATCATCGAGACAGACTCCGGCCAGGCCAAGGAAGAGCTTGAGGAGGCACAGGAACAAGTCCCCGAGATGGCTCCCATCAAGACTGGTGCTGGGGCCAAGCCTCGCTCAAGCAGCATGGCAACCCTGCGCCGCGCCAGCACTGCAAGCTTCAGAGGTCCACGAGGCAAGCTGACAGACGAGGAAATCGGTGGTTCGTCCAAGACCAAGCAAGCCAAGGAGCACTTAGAGCAAGGCAAGGTCAAGTGGTCTGTCTATGGCGAATACGCCAAGATGAACAACCTTTATGCCGTTGCTCTATATCTCCTCATGCTTCTTGCTGCACAGACTGCCGGAATCGGTGGTAATTTCTGGCTTGAGAAGTGGTCCAGAGAAAACCAAGAAAAGCAGTCGAACGCTAACGTCGGCAAGTATCTCGGAATCTACTTCGCTTTTGGTATCGGAGCGTCCGCTCTCACTGTTATTCAGACTCTTGTGCTCTGGATCTTCTGTTCCATTGAGGTTGGTGATTTTCCATGATCATGTCGAGTATAAAAACTGACGTAGCAACAGGCATCGAGGAAGCTTCATGAGCGCATGGCCAACGCTATCTTCCGCTCCCCCATGTCTTTCTTTGATACAACGCCCGCTGGTCGTATCCTGAACCGTTTCTCGAGGTCAGTATATACTTGGGGAAGATCAAAGGTCGATGCTAATCCATTTGACAGTGATATTTATCGTGTTGATGAGGTTTTGGCCAGAACTTTCAACATGCTATTTGTGAACGCGGCCAAGTCAGGCTTCACCTTGGTCGTCATCTCATTCGCCACGCCACCATTCGTTGCATTGATCATCCCGCTAGCCCTGACTTACTACTACATCCAGAGATATTACCTCCGAACATCTCGCGAGCTCAAGCGACTCGACAGTGTGAGCCGTAGCCCCATCTATGCACATTTCCAGGAGTCACTGGGTGGTATTTCAACCATTCGGGCGTTCCGACAGCAGCAGCGATTCGAGCTCGAGAATGAATGGCGTGTGGATGCTAATCTCCGTGCTTACTTCCCTTCAATCAGCGCCAATCGCTGGCTGGCTGTTCGCCTCGAGTTCATTGGTGCTGTGGTCATTCTGGCTGCCGCTGGCTTTGCCATCATCGCCGTCACTGGCAACAAGCCCATCCAATCTGGTATTGTCGGCCTTGCCATGTCATATGCTCTGCAGATTACGACTTCCCTCAACTGGATCGTTCGTCAGACCGTCGAAGTCGAGACCAACATTGTGTCAGTAGAGCGTGTCCTCGAATATGCAGCCCTACCAAGTGAGGCACCCGAGATCATCGCCAAGAACAGACCGCCTGTCTCGTGGCCTGCTAGGGGCGAGGTTGATTTCGTCAACTACAGCACCCGTTACCGTGAGGGTCTGGACCTGGTGCTCAAGAACATCAGCCTTGACATCAAGTCGCATGAGAAGATCGGTGTCGTGGGTCGCACAGGTGCAGGGAAGTCATCCCTGAC